CTGCAGCAGTGAATCCCGCAGTCTTTCAACCCGCCTGCTGGAGACATACCTCCCGTGTTTCGGGCCTGCATGCAGTCGCTGATGATGCTGGACGAATTTCGGACCTCAGCTGATTCTCCGTCCGCCGCTGGATGTGTTGGTTTGCGCAGTCCACGTAAGTGCCACAGGAGCCGGGGCCAAGGCTTCGGAGGTATCGGACATCCGCATCTCCATGTCTTCTGCTGTCACAACTTCGCCTGCAGGTTGCTGCAGAACGCCACTCATGCTTGGGCGTGCACTCCGTAATCATAGCAAGAAAGGTCACGCCTGTGAGGGCATTCCGTGAGATGGCCAGGCTAGCGGAGAACTCGACCAAGCTTGCTATCTTGCGGAGGCCGCGAGGAGGGGGCCGGGGCACGGGGTCTGAGATCTGTGAGCTTCACTGCGACAGGGCGCCCTGCCTGCAGCTGGATGACGCCAGCGATCTGGGCCCAGGTCGTGCCGCTCGTCTCGACGGCCTTTTCGATCATGAGCTTGTCCTGGGATGTGGCAGCATCTCTGCGTGTTATGCGAGTTGCGGAGCAATGCACATGCAGACTTGCTTGTCCCCAGCCGAGCTTCGCCCATCTCGGAGCACTTGGTGTTGGAGATGTCCAGGACCTTCGCCTGCTCGCGGATCTTGCAGGCGAGGGGAGTGCTGGATCTGCGTGTCAGCTGGCCCTCCGCGGTGAACCTGCAGCGGGAAAAAACTACACATTGACACACAGAGAGAGACGGTGCATCTCAGAGGCCCCAAAGTCCACGTGGGACGAGACAACGTGCGATTGAGGCGCAAGTCCAGCCGAAGATCCAACTTGCAGCAGCGCCAGATCTCAAAAATGCACCAGATCCGCCTCAAAGAGGAACCCCATGCGTCTGCACAGAGAACAGATCTCTGTCCAACTTGCAACACGGCTCTACTCCGCCATGCCACTCCAGCGTGCTGCAGCTCTCGTCGAACCTCGGCCGGCCACGAGGGTGCTGAAGGCCGACAAAGAAATTCGCAGAGAACATGCTCTGCCGAGACCGGCGCAGCATCACAGCACAATACACGGAATCCTGCTTCATGTGCCGGCCTCACGATTAAAGTCAGAAGAGAAAGACAGGATCTGGACCCACTCCACGGCAAAGCTCGCAGATTCCAGCAACTCAGGGAGGAGCAATTTGCGACATATTCCAGGGCCCGGTTAAAGGGCGAGACTTCCCAATCAGCTCCGAGATCCTGCAGAGGTGGTCGGGGCCGACTGTAAGACTGTAGGACTGTGTAGGGAGCCGGCTACCGCGTGCTGGCAATTCGAGAACCTGAGCTGTCAAATAGATGTCTCTCCACATCTCTTTCCGTACTCCTCAAGATTGGCCTTTGAAGCTGCCTACTTGTGGCTCCGCTCTGCCAAGCAACGAGCAGATGTAGTAGCACATGGCTCCTCGCGCTGACACTACGAGGATCTTGCGTTCAAAGTTGCAGAAACAAAAAATCGAGGATTCGGGGTGTCCTGGATTTGCTGGGTGCACCTTCTCACCGTGCAGTCGCAACGATTTGGCGAAGGAAAGTGTTTCCTGCGACAGCATCTCAGCATCCTACGACCAAACAAGGGTTTTTAATCGGTTCGATCTCCTCATCCTGTTTCTCCCACTTGCCACGTAATGCGTCTTTGGGGCATCTGGTTCATGGAGGCATTGGAGGCTCCGGGGCCACTTTGTTTTGCCAGCTCGCGACGTCACGCGGTCCTCGCCCCAAAAATGCGAGACGAAGGCGCAAAGGGGCGCGAATGGGCCCTGCTTCACAATGTCGACGTAAGCCACCTGGCCCAAGTTCTTGCTGCCCCTGCGCCGCAAACTTCGCAGGTTTAGACTTGGCCAGGTGCGATCAAGCTGCGCCAGCGCGCAGGACCACGACCGTCCCCGGCTTCTTCAGCAGCTCCTTCTTTCGGCGGGCGTTCATCTCGCCGAGCTGCTTCCCGAGCAGCTTTTCGGGGATCACATCCTGCAAATGCCCAAGGCCACCGTTGATGCCATCGCCAAACCCTTGCATGACTGCTGAGGCTCCATGTTGCCAAGGGTCCTGAGACAGCCGGCGTCCGTGCTTGGCCGTGGTGCGCCACCGTTCCTGACGCTCCTGACAGAAGTCATCCCATCTGCCGTTCCCCGAAACCTCTGTACCTGCGACTTGCCCTCGCAAGTAATGCCGGGCAATGCGGGTTGCCCATGTGCATCAGCCGAGCAGCACTGCCACGGTTCCAGTAATCCTTGCGCTGCGGGCCTTCCTCGCCTCGAGTCTCGCAAATCGACACAGATACTGACACAAATGCTTCGCAGACATTCGCAGACTTTCGCATCCGTTGCTTTGGGAACTCCGATCATGCGACACGTCTGAGCAACCGGCAAAGGATTCCCTGGATCACCAGGTTCTCCTGACTTCCAACACTGATATTGGCACCCGACGACCAAAAGGGAAGACATCCATATTGATCCGCAAAGGCTTCATCAAAAACGTCGCATGAGACAATCGAGCCGAGCTTCCACAGGGACCCCTCCAAGTATGGCTCCCTCCCGACATTGGAGGGAGCCCTTGACAAAGACGCCGTGAGACTTTTCGCCGTCGCTACCGGCGAGGGATTGCGTGATCTTCTCGGCATCCTCTGCCGTCAGCTCTACGATCCGTTCGTGGCCTCACGAGGTTCGAGTTAGAGCGACAGAGACGGAGACGGAGTGGGTCTTTGCAGTGGCAAAGCGAGGATACTCAGGTGAACCCTCCCGTAATGAACAACAAGCTGCACGTGGTGGCCACCTCGGCTCGGAGTCAAAACTGCTTAGTGCCAGATGGCGAAGGCAACTCCACTCTCCGGGTGCCCGGGGATCGTGCGATGATGAGCTCGGGAGTGACGTCGTACATGTTCTTCCGGCCCGTTCCCCGGGCCGTGGGGCCTTGAAGCCACTCAGCGTTGTCCTTGCTGCAGAAAGTGTGCGGCCCATGAGCACGCGTATTGTCAAAGAAAGGCTCCTTCACCAAGCGCAGCAGATCCACCAAGCGAAGGCCTCTCGGCACCTGGTTCTGAATGGCTGAGAGTGCTTTGTGCTTTGACCGACGGCAGGAAAATCATGCAATTGGCATCGCGCACACACACACACAGACAGAGACGGAGAGCATTCCTTACCTCTGGGGTCTCTAGAGAACTTGCTGACCTGGTCAATTCACCCCGCCACCTGGATTCTCAACACAGTCTGTTGTGCGAGAAATGCTGAGTCGGGCCGGACGCCTCTTCGGCCGCGACCGCCTTGGAGCTGCCGTGCAAGCCGTCAGCTGCCGGCAGCGCCGGCCCTGGATCCCATGCACACGCAGCCGCGCGCCGACCGCCCGGCACCGTGCAGGGCCCTGGCTCGGCGCCGGGCCTCCCGCGCCGTCGGATGCCGTTTGTTCAGGGCTTGCGGCCTCCTGCAGAAGATGGAGGCTCTGCTTCAAAAGCTGGCCACAGATTCGGGGGCCTTCGAGGTGCAGCACGTTGGGAAGCTCTTCTGGCAGACCCAACACCAGATCTCAATTCAACGTCCACCCCGTGCAACGAGGGGATGTCTGCGGGGCTTTGCGACGACAAACCGGATGAAGACAGCTTCAAGGCCTCAAGGTCAGCTTGAACGCCAGCTGCCGGAGTCTTCTGAGGACTGTCTCTCTGCTCCTGCCGCGGGCGGGCCAGGCTGAATTCGAGAAAAGCCCTAGCACTCGTAGCTAACCCCCTGACCAAGTTGCGGAAGGTATTAGGAACGAAAAGATCCTGGGGCTTCTGTGCTTTTCGGGTGGGGGAGCCCCGCGCGTCTGCGAATCTCAATCCCCCCGGGTTTCTACATCACCGGAAAGCCAACAGCACGGCCCCCCTTCTCACCCTTTCAGTCTGATGTCTGCCCTAGAAAGCTTCTGTGTATATCACGGCAAGCATGGGCACGGCACCGTGACAGACGACATAACGTACTGCTAGGTCCTCCAGTGCTTGCTGGTAGGAAGCTTTCTGATCCTGCGAGGCTTGTGGAGCATGGAGGAAGAAACACAGTATCATGCGAAAAAACTGGCGGGTGGTGAGTGAAGCATCCTTCACAGTCCTCGAGCTCCATTCGGTGCAAACTCTGCTGCTCCTGGCTCAGGCCGCTAGAGCGGACAGGTGGCCTGGGTCTACTCTCGGCTGACTTTACCGGTCCGTGAAAGCTTTTACTACCAAAAAGCCCTAGCACTCGTAGCTAACCCCCTGACCAAGTTGCGGAAGGTATTAGGAACGAAAAAAATCTTGGGGCTTCTGTGCTTTTCGGGTGGGGGAGCCCCGCGCGTCTGCGAATCTCAATCCCCCCGGGTTTCGACATCACCGGGAAAGCCAACAGCACCGTCCCCTTCTCACCCTTTCAGTCTGATGTCTGCCCTAGAAAGCTTCTGTGTATATCACGGCAAGCATGGGCACGGCACCGTGACGGACGACAGAACGCACTGCTACGTCCTACCGTGTTCTATACTTCGTTAAACCCTAAACCCTAAACTTCCCTAAAACCTAAACTTCCCTAAACCCTAAACTTCCCTAAACCCTAAACCCTAAACCTTTAAACCCTAAAATCTCTTTTTCTTTAAAGGCCCCACTCGTAGCTAACCCCCTGACCAAGTTGCGGAAGGTATTAGGAACGAAAAAAATCTTGGGGCTTCTGTGCTTTTCGGGCGGGGGAGCCCCGCGCGTCTGCGAATCTCAATCCCCCCGGGTTTCGACATCACCGGGAAACCCAACAGCACCGCCCCCCTTCTCACCCTTTCAGTCTGATGTCTGCCCTAGAAAGCTTCTGTGTATATCACGGCAAGCATGGGCACGGCACCGTGACAAACGACATAACGTACTGCTAGGTCCTCCAGTGCTTGCTGGCAGGAAGCTTTCTGATCCTGCGAGGCTTGGTGAGCATGGAGGAAGAAACCCAGTATCATGTGAAAAAACTGGCGGGTGGTGAGCGAAGCATCCTTCCCGCAAAGACTGAGGAGCCGGTTGAGACAGTCCTCGAGCTCCTTTCGGTGCAAACTCTGCTGCTCCTGGCTCAGGCCGCTAGAGCGGACAGGTGGCCTGGGTCTACTCTCGGCTGACTTTAACGGTCCTTGAAAGCTTTTACTACCAAAAAGCCC